TCCGGCGCCCTTCATTTCCGCCGTTCGTCTTCTGGTCCACGGCGAGCTTTGCCCCGACGTGAAGGAGAACGCGATCGGGAGCCTCTACCCGCCGTTCCTCGTCCAGACCGTGTCCGTCGGCTGCGAGCCCTGCCCGCGCGACTCGTACACGCTCGGCGCCGGGTCGTGGCTGGGCACGGAGAGACGCGACGCGGCCTGCCTGCCCTGCCCCTACGGCGCGACGTGCGAGGCGGGCGGAAGCGGCGTCGTCGCCAAGCCCGGCTACAAGGGCGAGGTCTCGGGCTCCGAGGGCGAGATCGGCGCCCCCGTCGTCGCCTTCGAGCGGTGCCCGGACGGCTACTGCTGCGGCGACGGCCGCGCGCCGTGCGCCGCCTTCGACAGCTGCGCGGAGCACCGCGAGGGCCCGCTCTGCGGCTCCTGCGCGCCGGGCTCGTCCGCGGCCCTGTTCACGGACGCGTGCCGCGACGACGGCGCCTGCGGCACGGCGGGCGCGCTCGCCCAGGTCTCCGTCTTGGTCCTGGTCGCGGCGGCGGCCTACGCGATCTACCTCTACTACCTCCCGAGCTCCTACGCTTCCGACATGAGCCTGTGCGTCTACTTTTGGCAGAACTGCTTCGTCGTGTTGCAGACGGGCGGCTCGCTCGACCGCCTCTCGGCCGACGCCGCGGGCGTCGCGCGCGCCGTCGGCGACGTCGCGCGGGTCCGGCTGTCCCTCGGCGGGTCGCGCGGCTACTGCCTCTACGCGGGCGCGACGACCGTCGCCATGATCGCGCTCAACTTCGTCGTGCCCGTCGCGGTCCTCCTCGCGACGCTCCTGCTCCACACCGTCGCGCGTGCCGGCGGCCGCCGCGCCGCGCGCCGCGACGGCGCGCTCGACGAGGCGCTCCTCGGCGGCGGCGCCGCGGCCGCCGCGCCGCGGCTCGCGACGGCGCTCGTGAACCTCGGCTTCCTGCTGCTCTCGACCTTTTTCAGCACCATGACGGCGCTGCTCGGCTGCGTGGGCGTCAAGGGGCTCGAGGGCGCGCGGCTCTTCGTCCAGGCCGACATCGCGTGCTACCGCCCCTGGCAGGCGCCGCTCTTCGTCGTCGCGGTGCTGGTCGGCGGCGCCTTCGCCGCGCCGCTGGCCGTGCTGTGCCTCGGCCGCGGCGCCGCGGTCGACCGCGGGCTGGAATCGGTCTTCGGCCGGGCCTGGACCTTCTCGCGCGACGTCATGGCCGAGCCCTTCGAGCGGCGCCACGCGGCGTGGGGCAGCGCCATCGGCGCGCAGATCCTCGCGTTCGCGTGCCTCGCCGCCCAGCCCTGGGCCGCGACCGTCCGCGTGCTCTTCATGCTCTCCGTCTCCGTCGCCGCCGCGCTCGCGCACGCGCACGCCATGCCCTTCAAGAGCGCGGACACGAACTACCTCCAGGGCGCGCTCCTGACCGCGCTGCCCGTCTTCTGCGCGCTGCAGCTCCCCTGGAGCGTGACGTCGACGATCAACGCGCCCGTCGGGCGGGACGACAAGCTCCCCGTCATCGCGAACCGCTGCGCGAAGTGCTCCCTGGCGATCCTCGCGCTGCCCTGCGCGTGGGCCGCCGCGATGGTCTACCAGCAGCGCCACGTCTGGGACGACGTGGCGGCGCGGGCCGGCCGCGCGTCAAAGTGGCTCCGGCGGCGCGTGCGCCGCCCGCGGGCCGACGCTTCGGAGATTCGAATAAATTAACGAGGTCTCCGAGTCGACGTGAGCGAAGCAAATTAAGAGAGCGCGGGGGCGGCGCCGCGCGTTGTCACGCGTCGAACGCGCGCACGACGTCGCCGTCCTCCTTGGCCTCGCCCGCGGGCGCGACGCGGCCGCCGCCGCCGCCGCCGAGGTAGGCGACCGCGGCGGACGCGGCGCCGCCGTTGGCCTGGGACGGCCGCCGGATGACGGAGCCGCGCGAGCTCAGGCGGAGCTGGTGCACCGACTTCTTGCGCTTCTCGTAGTTCTCCGGCGCCGACCTGACGCCCCACTCGCGGCCGTCCGTCGTGTTCTTGAGCTTGGGCACCGTCGACTGGATCTGGAACTGCTTGACGGCGTTCGCGGCCTGCGCGGGGGCGAAACGAGGTGATACAACGGAACCGCCGAAGAAAGAAGCCGCGGACGCGGCGAAAGCGGACCCGCTTGAGCTTCACGCGGTGGATCATGCGGTGGATGTAGGCGTCGGAGGCGAGGTTGCCCTTCTCCTTCTTCTTGAACACGGCGAGGCCCTTGCGCTCCTTCTCCATCTCTCCGGTCTCCTTGAAGCCCGCCTCCATGCGGTCCACGCGGCCCTGGATGAGCTCCATGCACTCGGAGATGTGCTTGAGCTCGGCGGCGAGCACGGAGTGGGAGTCGTTCTGGTCGTGGAGCATGGAGACGACGGTCATCAGGTTCGACTCGATGTTGCTCGGCGCGGACCGCTCGCGGATGTCGTTGTAGGCCTTCAAAGCGCGGCGGAACTTCGCGTGGGCCTCGACCGTGCAGCCCGTGACCTCCGTCGCGAGCGTCGCGAGGCGCTCCTTGTAGAAGAATTGTCTCTCGCCCAGCAGGCCCGCGAGCTCCTTGCGGTTCTTCACGGACTTGAGCCGCGCGATGCCCGTGACGCCCTTCATCGTGATGCGGCCGAAGCCCTTGGGCGGCCCGCGGATCTGGAGGGCGCTGAACATGGTGTGGGCCGTGAAGAACTCGGCGAGGAGCGCCGCCGCCGTCGACTGCATCTTCTTGTAGTACTTGTCGCTGTGCGCGTACTCGTAGACCTTCGTCTGGCCCGAGTCCATGCAGACGGCCTCGGAGAAGAAGCCGATGAGGAGCGACAGGAGCACGGTGTAGGCTAAAACGCAGACGCCCACGGTGAGGCGGCCCAGGTGGGTCTTGGGGTAGTAGTCCCCGTAGCCGACGCTCGTCATGGACACGTAGATGCACCAGACCGCGTTCGACCAGTTCGGCACGCCGTCGCCGACGCCGTGGAAGTAGTCCTGTCTCTCGTGGCCCGCGAAGTCCAGCAGCACCTCCTCGAAGTCGTCGGCGTCGTCGGCCATGCCGAGCGTGCGCTCCCAGCACCGGAGGTTCACCGTGCCCCAGAGCAAAATCATGAGCATCCAGAACAGGATGATCCGCGACGGCGCGCCGCGGAAGAGGCACTTGCACACAAAGGCCGTGTCGTTGCGCACCATGTTCATGCGCGCGACGGCGACGACGTGGTCGTCGTCGTAGATGGACTGGAGCATGGAGTAGTGCACGATCGTGTAGAGCCGGAGGAACACGGCCGTGTTCAGGTTCGACACGGGGTAGCGGTCCGCGTAGTGCTGCACGCCGCCGACGCGGAAGACGGCCTCGACGCCCGGCGGGATCACGAAGAGGCGCATGAGCAGCTCGACGACGAAGATCAGACCGTCCGGCCGGTGGTCGACGTCGTACTCGGGGTCGGACTCGTCCGCCAGGATGTAGTAGCGCCGGCAGATGACGCCCGCGGAGACGCCGCTCAGGCAGCAGAGCAAACCCCGCAGGCCGTCCGTGAGCCCCGTGCGCGCGTAGTTGACGCCGTTCCAGCCCGCCTCGACGGACGCGACGGACACGACGACGGACAGGATGTCCATGAGCAGCAAGACCCAGGTGAGGTACTCGGCGCGGTCCATGGGGCTGCCCTTGATGGGCTCGTGGGCGCGCTTCTCGACCTCGTGCGCCTGCATGATCATCGTCACGGCGCCCGCGGTCGGCACGCCGTCCTTCTGCTTCACGCCGCGAGCGGCGGACGCCATCTTGGGGCTGCCGATCGCCGTCTTTCCTTTCGCGGGGCGCGGCGGCCGCGTTTGGCGGCGGCGATGCGCGAGAACCGCGCCGCGCGCCGGGTGTGCCTCCGGAGCGTCCGGTGGGCCGCGAAAAGAGGTGGCGCGCTTTCCGGGGCGCGGTCGGCGGGCCCGGGCGCGCCGGTGCCGCCCGGCGTCCGAGCGGCGGGAGGCGGCCGCCGGCCGACCGCGCGCCGCCGACGGGCGCCGGGAAAGAACCCGGCCTGTTAAGAACCCGGCCTGGGCTGCCCTACCGCGGCGGCCCGACCTCGGGCATGCCTGGTGGGGGCTAGGCGCTGATCATCTATGTCTGCGCTGATATATTGCCCTGCATCGCTCTCCACCTTGCCCTTTTTTTCCGCCGGGCCCGGGGACTTGCCGGGGGTCTTACTTGGGGTCTTCCACCGTGACTTGGTCCGACTTTCAACTCTCGAGAGTCGAAGAACTTGTCGAACAGCCGCGGAGTCGCCGCTCGAGTCCGCACCGCGCCGGCGCTTAGGAGCCCCAGGGGAAGGGCGGGAGGAGGGGTGCCTCGAGGGGGATGGCGCCGCCGTCCTCGGAGCCGACGCCCGCGAGCCAGTCCGCGCGGCCCGCGTGGTCCGACTTCGCGCCCTTCCACGTCCCCGCGCCGGGCCCGGCCGTCGCGCGGCTCCAGTTGTAGTTGCCGTGGCCCACGAGGCTCCCGTCGGACTCGTCGACGATGAGCGCGTCCGCGTCCCACGTCGCCGTCGCGTCGCGGACGGCCTTCGACTTGCACGCCGGCGCGCAGGTCTGGAGCGCCGCGCCGGGCACGACGGCGAGGGCGCGCGGGGCGCCGAGGTCGCCGGGCCGCCGGAGCTCGCCGCGGCCGAGGTCCGCGAGCCGCCGCGCCCACTCGGGCGCCGGCGCCGCGGCGTCGTAGACGAGCGCGGTCGTCCGCTCGCGCGCGGCGTCCGTGATCGCCCGGCTCGCGGCGCCGGGGAGCGCCCGGAAGTCGAGGGCGTCCTTCGCCGCCGTCACGGTGAGGAGGTGGTGCTCGCACGCGCGCGCGGGCTTGCCCCGGCGCGCGTCGCCGACGGCCACGAGCGTCGCGTTCGGGTCGCAGAGCGCGTGGTCGCCGGCGCCCGGCGCGAGCGTCTCGTGGGACGCGGCGAAGACGCAGACGCGGCCGTCGACGCCGTCGTCGAGGAGCGCGGCCGCGCGGCGCGCGGACCGCCGGACCTCGCCGTCGCGCGCCGCCGCGGCCCGGTACCGCGCGTCGGCCGACGCCGCGCCGCCGGTCACGGGCGCGTCGTTCCGGTCCCGCAGGATCTCCTCGCGCTGGCGCGCCCGCTTGAGCGCCTTCCAGATCGCGCGCTCGACGTCGTCCTCGTTCGCCGCGCCGTCGACGCGGTCCCGCCTGGGCAGGAAAAGGGTGATTCAACGTTGCTTCAATGTGAGTGTTCCGCGCGCGCGCGTTCCGGGAAAAGCATCCACGCTTCGAGGCCGTTCCAAGAGATGATCGCTCGTCCAAAAATCAGCCGAAACGAGTGGGAAACGGCCGAGAGAGGAGCCTTTGAAGTTGGGAATTTCGCACCCTTTTCCTGCCCCGGGTCCCGCGGCGGCGGCGCGCGGCCGCGCTGGCCGCCCTGCGTCGTCGCGTAGAGGTTGTTCACGGCAAAGTCCATGGCGTTGAGGCCCTGGAAGTCGACGGCGAGGGTCGACGCGCCCGCGGCCAGGAGCGCGTCGACCGTCGCGAGGTCGCCGGAATTCGCGGCCGCCATGAGCGGCGTGCGCCCGCGGGTCGCGTCGCCGGCGGTCACGTCGCCGCCGCGGTGCAGCTCGCGCGCGACGCCCGCCGGGTCCCCCGCCGCCGCCGCCGCCGCGAGGGCGAGCGTCGCGGCCGACGCGCCGACGGCGGCGCCCGCGGCGTCGAGTCCCACGCGGTCCGGCAGGTCCGAAAAGGCCGCGGCGGGCAGGCACTGGACGGCGACGCAGTTCGCCAGCGCCGCGCAGGTCGCCAACGCGTCGGCCTCGAGGGTCACGCAGCGGTCCCCGAAGCGCCGCGCGATGCCCGCGCCGTCGAGGCAGCCCGCGTCGACGTCGACGAGCACGGGCGCCGCGAGGGCGCCGGCGCCGCGCACCGTCGTCACCTCGAAGACCGTCGTCTCCGCGACGGACGTCCGGGCGAGGCGCGGGGCCAGGGCGCCGGCGCAGAAGGCGAGGAGGCGGCCCCACCGGCGGGCGCCCATCGTGCTTAGCGGCTCTCTTTGTGATTCTTGCCCTTCAAGATGCCTTCAAGCGACCTCTTACGACGATCTGGGCCGGCTAAGTTCGCATCCGCAGCAGCGACACACGCAAATCAAACCATGCCGCAGCGCGGGCTCGACGCGTCGGCGGGCCTCGCCTTCGAGGGCGTCGTCGTGAAGCTCCAGGTGAAGAAGGCGCAGCGCGTCGTCGTCGACGGCGCCTGCGGCAGGGTCGGCGGCGGCGGCCTGCTCGCCGTGCTCGGCGCGTCGGGCGCGGGCAAGACGACGCTCCTCGCGGCGATCGCCGGCGAGGTCGCCTGCGAGGGGCTCGTCGACCGGCCCAGCGGCGTCGTCGCCTACTGCCCGCAGGACGACCTGCTGCTGCCGTTCCTCACCGTCGGCGAGACGCTGCGCTTCGCCGGCGACCTGCGGCTCGACCGGCGCGACCCGCGGTGGCGCGGCGCCGCGGACCGCGCGGCGCGCGGCGACGCGCTGCTGGCGACGCTGGGCCTCGAGGCCGTCGCGGCCGCGCGCGTCGGGAGCCGCGAGCGGCGCGGCGTGTCCGGCGGCGAGCGGAAGCGGCTCGCGCTCGGCGTCGAGCTCGTGCTCATGCCCGCGCTCCTCGTCGCCGACGAGCCGACGAGCGGCCTCGACAGCCGGTCCGCGCTCGAGGTCGCGGACCTGCTGCGGCGCGCGCCTGCAACGGCGGTCGCGTCGGTGCACCAGCCGGGCGCGCGCGTCTTCGCGACCTTCACGGACTGCCTCGTGCTCGCGCCGGGCGGGTCGCCCGCCTACAGCGGCGCCGCGGCCGCCGCGCCGGGCGCCGTCGCCGCGGCCGTCGGCGCGGCCGTGCCGCCGCTCACGTCCGCGGCCGAGTACCTCCTCGACGCCGCGGCGGACCACGGCGCGGCGCTCGCGGCGAGCGCGCGGGCGTCGGGCGCCTTCGTCGGCGCGGCGCGGCGCCCGGCGTCCTGGCACCGCGGCCGCTGCGGCGCGGGCGGCGGCTCGCGGTTTGGGCCGCTCCTCGAGCGCGCGTGGCTCAACAACCGGCGGTCGCCGGTGGCGACGTACGCGGCGCTCGGCCGCTCCGTGACCATGGCCCTGCTCGTCGGCGCCCTCTACGCCGGGAGCCGGGGAAGCGACGGCCAGGACGCCGTGAGCGACCGCACGGGCGCACTCTTCTTCGTGCTCATCAACCAGGCGTTCTCGGCGATGGCGTCGCTCCGCACGAGCGGGCCGTCTTCGAGCACGAGCGGCGCCGGGACGCCTACGGCACGGGCGCCTACTTTTTGGCCAAGTCGGTCGCGGAGCTGCCGTTCCAGGGCCTCTTCGCGGCCGTCTTCGCGGGGCTCAGCTACGTCCTCGTGGGCCTCCGGGCGGACGCCGGCGCCGTCGCGGCGCACGTCGCGTTCCTCGTCGGGGCGACGCTCGCCGCCGAGAGCCTCGTGCTGCTCGTCGGCGCCGTCGCGGCCGACGCGAAGACGGCCGTCGTGATCTGCCCCGTGCTCCTGTCGACGTCGCTCCTCTTCGGCGGCCTCTTTGTGTCGCTGGACTCGCTCCCCGCGGGCCTCGCGGTGTTCCAGCAGCTGTCGCTCTTCCGCTGGTCCTTCGCGGCGCTGCTCAAGGCCGAGTTCGCCGCGCCGGACGTCGTCTTCACGTGCACGGACGCGGACCGCGCGGCGCTCGCGCGGCGCGTCGTCGACGCGGGCGCGCCCCGGCGGCTCCTCGCCAAGCTCGCGCGCGGCCTGCCCTGCCCGACGCCCGACGGCGCGACGCACGTGGCGCGCGTGCTCGGCGCGGCCGGCGCGGCGCGGTCCCTCGCGGACGACGGCGCCGCGCTGGCCGCGCTCGTCGTCGGCTTCCGCGTCCTCGCCTACGCCGCGCTCGCGCGGCGGACGCGCGGCGCCGACGCCGCGCCGGCGAAGCAGAAGGCGGCCTAGGTAACATATCCCGCCGGTCCAAGTTGAAGCGCCGTTTAGCATATCCCGCCGGCGGGATACGTTATCGGGCGTTCTTAGGAACGGGACCCCCTAGGAGGACATGATCGGCGGCTTGTCCGTCTTCTTGCCGATGAGCTTGACCCAGAGGATCGCGCAGGCGTCGTCCTCCTCGGGCGTCGTCTTGGGCAGCGGCGGCTTGACGGCGGCCAGGGCGCGCGCCGCCTCCTTGACGTTCGCGAGGCGCTTCTCGTAGGCCTTGAGCAGCGTCGCGAGCTCCGCCTTGCGCGCGGGCGTCAGCGGCGTGCCGCCGGACGTCGCGAGGGCCTTCTTGATGGACTTGACGGCCTCCTCGTAGGATTTCACCTCGTCGTTGAGCTGCTTCGTGAGCTTGTCGTCCTCGGATCGCGCGGCGCGCATGGCATTCAGCGCGTAGATCTCCGCCTCTTTCGTGGGGCCGCCCTCGTCGAGCATCTTTTTGCCCGCCTGGGCGGTCGCGACGCGGGTCTTGGCGGACTCGACGCCGCTGTTCAGCGAGTCCCCGAGGCCCGACATGAAATTCATGGTCGCGAGTCGGGCGCGGGGCGGGCAGCCCCAGCCTCTCGATCGATGCCTTCTCCGAAGGCCGGGCTCATCATGATACTTCCTTCAGGATACGAGTTTGGTTACCTCGCCGCTCCGTAGCGCGGCTCCCGACGGCGCTCTCTGTACGCGCGGCCTCGGTGGTCGCAGCGCGCCGCCGCTCCGCGTCGCCCCGCTCGAGGAAGCGCCTCCGCCCGCCGGCGCCGTCGATCCCCCCGCCGCGGGCGCCGCGACCATGCAGAACCACAAGCTCGCCGGGCGGGCGCAGTCCGTGAAGAAGAGCACGGTGCGCATGGTCGAGAACCACCTCGCCAAGCAGCGCAACGGTGCGCCGCCCCGCGCCCGCCGCGGAGGGCCGCGGCCCGCGACCCGCGCCGCCCCCCCGCAGCCTACGACGCGTGGATCCAGGAGCTCTGCAGCGACGCCGAGGAGAGCGCCGCGGAGCGCGACCGGCTCAAGGCCAAGCTCATGAAGCTCCGCGAGGAGCACAAGCGCAAGATGGCGCGGTCGCCCCGCGTCGCTTTGTCCGTCGCGCGGCGCGCCCGAGACGTTCCCTCGCATCCCCGCAGATGATCAAGATCCTGAGCCGCATGAGCAACATGGTCTACTACCGCGCGTGGAGCTGCTGGTACAACGCGACGATCCGCATCCACCAGATGTCCATCGACGAGGAGATCAAGATGCTCCGGGCCGAGGTCAAGGACGCCCGGGCCCAGGCCGAGGTGCTCGAGACGGAGGCGCAGGCGCGCGCGGACGAGGCGTCGGCGCTCGCGATCGGCAACGCGTCGGAGTCGCAGCGCAAGCTCATCCTCAAGATCATGACGAAGATGGTCCAGGGCCTCGCGCGCGTCGCCTACACGCAGTGGTACAAGCAGACCTTCATGGCGAAGCACCAGAAGAACTTGATGCTCAAGATCATCAAGCGCCTCGAGCGGGGGCAGCTCGCCAAGGGGTGGACGCAGTGGAAGGTCATCGCGACGAAGTGGGCCCTCATCGAGAAGATGGAGCTCAAGGAGCGCCTCATCAAGGAGCTCGACATGCTCGAGAAGAAGGCCAAGGAGTTCGAGCAGGAGGCGTCGAGCCGATCCGAGCAGGCGACGATGGCCGCGATCAACCGGTGCTCGTCGGAGCAGAAGGATTTGCTCATCAAGATCATGGCGAAGATGTGCGACAACTTTTTGGTCATGGGCTGGTCCATGTGGAAGAAGAAGATGAACATCTACAACAACACCGTGAAGCTCGTCGGCAAGATCCTCAGCCGCATGGTCAACATGAAGAAGCACCAGGCCTTCCGCCGCTGGCACGAGGTCTGCTTCGAGCTCGTCGCCGACAAGTTCAAGCTCAAGGAGGAGCTCCTCATCTCCCAGCGCGACAACCTGATGAACACGCTCAAGGCGCGCGCGCTCCAGCTCGAGAAGCTCCAGGCCGAGGCCGCGGAGCTCCTCGAGCTGAGCCAGCGCAACGCCGCGGACACGGCCAACGTCATGGCCGTGTCGAACCGCTTCGCCGACAACATCCACGTCATCCTCGACAAGAAGGCCCTCGAGGAGGTCGACGGCCCGGACCCGAACAAGGTCTCCTACGACGACTTCGTCAAGGAGCTCGGCGACTAGGCGGGGGCGGACGCCCGTGTGCTTCCCCGCCCCGCCCCGCCCCGCGGCGAGCCCCGCCGCGACGCCCCGACCTAAGAGCTAGGAACTGGCAGGGTATACGGGAGAGGGCTGTTGGATTGTGGGTTTGTGGGCGGGGGTTGGATGGCGCCAAAGGCGATGGGCCCGTCTGAGGTCCAACGCGTCTGTCACGCACGGTACGTTCGGTCTGTCGTCTAGGAGAGTTCCTTCTTTTGCAGGCGCGCCGCGACGTCCAGGAGCTGCCGAACGTGGCCCTTGCGCAAGCCCGGGATATTCGCCGCGTCCTCCGGGGTTAAGAGGGTGAGTGCGTCCACGCTGCCAAAGCCTTCGGCCTCGAGCGCGGGCACGCACTTGACGAGATTCGGGAAGCCTTTGGCCGTCAACCAGTCCGCGAGGTTCTCGTCCGCCGCGGTCGGCGCCGCGCCGAAGCCGAACCACGACCCCTTCTTCGGCGCCTTGGCGTTGGCCTCGGCTTCGGCCTTGAGCCGGGCGGCTTCCGCTTCCGCGGCGACTCGCGCCTGCTCCTCGGCTTTGAGCTGAGCCTCGGCCCGCGCCTTCTCCTCGGCTTTGAGGCGCGCGGCTTCTCGCGCCGCCGCGATTCGCGCTTCTTCTTCAGCTTTGAGCTTGGCCTCGGCCCGTGCCTTCTCTTCTGCTTCGGCCTTGAGGCGCGCGGCTTCTTGCTCCGCCTCGGCCCGCGCCTTCGCTTCAGCTTCGGCTTGGAGCCGCGCTTGTTCGGCCGCGACGCGGTCCTTCTCCTCGGCTTCGGCCTTGAGCCGTGCGCTCTCCGCTTGTGCGGCCCGTGCTTGCTCCTGCGCGGCTCGTAGCTCCGCCTCGGCCCGCGCCTTTGCTTCAGCTTCGGCCTTGAGGCGCGCGGCTAATTGATCGGCCGCGACGCGGTCCTTTTCCTTGGCCTCGGCCCGGAGCCGAGCGCTCTCCGCTTCCGCGGCGACACGCGCCTGTTCCTGTTTGACTCGCGCGGCCCGCAGCTCCGCCTCGGCCCGCGCCTTTTCCTCGGCTTCGGCACTGCGACGCGCCCGTTGCTCGGCCGCGGCGCGCGCCTCGTCGTCGTGCTCCGCCTTCAGGGATTTGATGGGTGCCTCTGGCTGGACTTCGATGGCGACCCCGGAGAAGGGTCGTCGTCGACGAGCTTCGTATTCTTGTGAGACTTGGCGGGGCGTCGCATCTTGCACCACACGCCCGCGGCCAGAACCAAGACGACGACGACGACGATGCCGATCGCGAACAAGCCGAGAGATGCCGTGTCTGCGCCTCCGCCCCCGCCCCCGCCGCTGGCGCCGTCGTCGGTCTCGGGGGCGGCGCCGCTGGCACCGTCGTCGGTCTCGGGGGCGGCGCCGCTGGCACCGTCGTCGGTCTCGGGGGTCTCCGCGGTCACGGTCGCAGAGACCGGCGCGGGCGTGGGCGCTGGCATCGTCAACGTCTCCGCCATGCCGACGGCGATGGTCCTGGCGGAATCCAACTCGGATGAGTCGGCGGCAGACGCGAGGGCTGCGTCGAAGTCGGCACTCGGAAGCATTGAGAGGTCCGCGGCGAGGTCATCAGCGGCAGCGGCGGAGACGACGATGATGCTGTAGGTGACATCGACGACCGGCGTCGGCGTTGGCCGCGGCGTCGGTGGCGATGGGGTCGGGCGCGCTGATGCCTCATCCTCGTCCGGCGTGCAGTAGAACCAGTTGACGAGGTTCTCGTCCATGCACCAGGGCCCGTCGGAGTCGCCGTCGCACGCCGTCGACGGGCAGCCGTAGAGGGGGCCGTAGCAGCCCGAGTCCGACACGCTGGTCCAGACCGAGGCGCAGGTCCCGGACGCGACGAGCGTATCGTCGACGTCGTCGTCGTCGTCGTCGTCGCCGCCGGCGTCGACGCTCGAGCCGTCGTCGTCGTCCGGCGTGCAGTAGAACCAGTTGACGAGGTTCTCGTCCATGCACCAGGGGCCGTCGGAGTCGCCGTCGCACGCCGTCGACGGGCAGCCGTAGAGGGGGGCGGAGCAGCCCGAGTCCGACACGCTCGTCCAGACCGAGGCGCAGGTCCCGGACGCGACGAGCGTATCGTCGACGTCGTCGTCGCCGCCGGCGTCGACGCTCGAGCCGTCGTCGTCGTCCGGCGTGCAGTAGAACCAGTTGACGAGGTTCTCGTCCATGCACCAGGGCCCGTCGGAGTCGCCGTCGCACGCCGTCGACGGGCAGCCGTAGAGGGGGCCGGAGCAGCCCGAGTCCGACACGCTGGTCCAGACCGAGGCGCAGGTCCCGGACTCGACGAGCGTATCGTCGACGTCGTCGTCGTCGTCGTCGCTGGATCCGCCCCAAAACTCGTCGAGCCGGCGGCCGGCCGCGGAGATCGCGACGGTAACGTCCTCCTCCTCGGCGCCCGCGACGTCGGCGACGGCCGAGACGAAGACGTCCGAGTTCTCCCGAGCCGTCGCCAGCGACATGCCCTGGATCGTCAGGCCGCCGGTGACGACGTGGAGCACCGCGCGCGTCGGAGAGGCCGTCGGGCGCGCCGTCGACGGCCGCGGCGTCGGCCCGGCCGAGGGCCGCGGCGTAGGCCCGGCAGTCGGTGACGGCGAAGGTCGCGGCGTCGGCGCTGGAAAGGGCGCGGCCGTAGGCGCTGGAAGCGGTGCGACCGTTGGCTGCGCCGTCGGCCGCGGCGTCGGCGGAAAGACGGGACTCGCCGTCGGCGCGCCGGGCGTGGCCGTCGGCGCGGGCGTCGGCCGCGGCGTCGGCGCTGGAAAGGGTGCGGCCGTGGGCTTCGGCGCGGGAGCGTTCGTCACCGGGTTCGCCGTCGGGGTGCCGGGCGTGGCCGTCGGCGAGGGCGTCGGCCGCGGCGTCGGAGCCGGCGACGGGCTCGGAGTCGGCAGCGGGAGCGACGGTCTCGACGTGGGTTCGCCGCGCGCGACCGAAGGCCGCAGCGTCGGCGAGGGCGTCGGCAGGGGCGTCGGCGAGCGTGTCGGCGAGCGCGAGGGGCGGTGGCTCGGCTCGGCCGTCGGCTCGTAGGAAGGCGCGTACGTGGGCGAATACGTGGGGGTCGGCGTCGGGCGCGGCGTCGGGCGCGGCGTCGGGCGAGGCGTCGAGTTCTCGCTCGCGCTCGGGTCGAGGCAGTCGTAGCCGTTCTCGCCGCAGGTGTTGCTACTGGTGCTGACGCACGTGCTCGCGCAGCAGTCGCCGCCGTCGTAGTTGGTGGCCGCAGTGTTGCACCATGTCGTGCAGTACCCGGTTCCAGCATTAGACCCGCAGCCGTCGTCGTCGTCGTAGTCGTCGTCGTTGTTCTCGCTGGCGCTCGGGTCGAGGCAGTCGTAGCCGCCGGAGCCGCAGGTGTAGCTACTGGTGCTGACGCACGTGCTCGCGCAGCAGTCGCCGCCGTCGTAGTTGGTGGCCGCAGTGTTGCAAGATGTCGTGCAGTACCCGGTTCCAGCATTAGACCCGCAGCTGCCGTCGTCGTCGTAGTCGTCGTCGTCGTAGTCGTCATCGTCATCGTCGTCGTCGTCGTTCGCGCACGTGCACCCGTAGCAATTGCAGCCGTAATTCGACTCGAGGTCCGCGCACGTGTAGCCCGTCCAGTAGTCACATGAGTTCCCAGAGCAGCCCGTCGATGGGCACCAATAGTCGTCGTCGTAGTAGAAGAATCCATGCGCCGGGTCCAGGACGCCGAAGATTGCGCACGCATAGCACAGGGCGGCGACCTACACACAAATCGAGCTGCTCGACTGGGGACAGCAGCACCATGCACACGCACACGCCCCGCCCCTCGAACTCAGCGCGCTGCGAGGGCGAGGAGGGCGCCCCGGGCTGGGGCGCGGCGGGACGCACCGATGAAGGGCGCATCGTCTGGAGCTTTACGACCCGTTCGGGCCTCGGTCGACCTACAATTAGCGCCACACGATTTGGCTTCACGATGCCTTTTTGCCTCCCAACATCTTGATGGTCACTCGCAGCCTGAGTTTCGGCTGAATGAATTTCGTTTCGTTGACCTTTCGAATGGTTCACGACGGAGGAGTGTGGGAGGAACGCCGCAGGCTTGCGCACCGCCGAAGATGCGGCGCGCCGGGGAGCGCCCGACAGCAGACGGCGCATCAACGATGGGCGTGCGCGCGATGCTCTTCGTGCGCGCGCTGCTGGCCGCCGCGTGCGTGGGCATCGGCGGCGCGCAGCTCCCTGGGCACGAGGATGCGACGAGCATGGACTACGACGCATGGGCTGCGACGAACTGGACAGGAGCTGAGGGCATGGACTGGCCTCTGCCAGAGGACTTTTGGTACAACGTCACGGATGACGCGGACGCCCACGCGATGTTCTTCATCCTGTCGCCTCCCGTGTCTACGAACCGCGCCACCCCGGCGCTCCAAGCGCCCGCGCGCCTCCGCGTTCGGCGCTCGAGCGGCCGAGCCCGTCGGTCTCGGACCGCGCGCCGTCGCGCGCGCGCACGCGCGCGGAGACGCCCAGCGGTCCCAGTCCTAGAATTTGCCGCCCCGCTCTACAGGTCGCACATGGGGCAGTTCATGGCCGAGAAGCCCGTGCGCCGCGGCAAGGCGCGCGGCCGTCGGCTCGAGACGCTCGACATCGGCGACGACTTCTGCACGAGCATGAACATCAACGCGGACACCGCGCCCAGCGGCGACGGCTTTAACTACGGTGGCGGCGAGGGCGAGTACCCGCCGTCGAAGCCGTGCGCGGAAGGTACGGGGAATTGTCCGAGTACGGGCTGTACGCCTTGCATCCGCGAGCCCTGCCCGATCTGCGAGTACGACGGCAGCATCTTCAAGCTCGGCAATGACGCAGTGTCGTTCGACAACGGCAAGGGGAAGATGCAGTACCTCGTCGCGTGGGGCTGGACGAACGACGGCGCGTCTTCGACGGACGACGGCGCGTGGGACTACTGGATGGCGACGTGCCTGTACACGACCTACAAGAGGGGGCTGTACGTGAACGAGGGAAAGAAAGACATACAACTAGCGGGCACTCAACTCAGCGACGGGAGCTACGCGGTCGAGTGCGACGGTTGCTTCGTCGATCTCTCCGCGAAAGTGACCATCGCCTTCAAGTACCTCTACAACAGCGCGTCGATCGCGCAGCCAGGGGACGGGTCCTACCATCAAGACTACGACATCCAGATCAAGGCCGAGGGCGGCTTCTCGTACAATTTGGACTTCTCGATGCAGGCGCCAGAGTTCGATCTCGGCCAGGAGGACTGGCAGATCACGGATTTTCCCGATATCAACTCCCTCACGCTCCCGGTGTATCCCGCTGCAACAACACCAACATTGATCGACCTCACGATCCAGCCGTCCGGCGACGTTCGCACCAAGGGCAAGATCTCGTCCTCGGGCGGCAAGTTCGAGGCCACTGCTTCTCTCGACACGAACATCAACGCATGGGCCTGTGTGCAAATCAAATCTTCAACCCGACTTCAATGTGCGCGTATGCGAATGTTTTGACACGAGCACTTTCGCTGTGCTTCGAGAACTCGACGAGAGCAATCGATCCGTCCAAAAATCAGCCGAATCGACTTCGATTTGACCGAGCTAGAGAATTCTCAAGTTTGGCCCCGACGTCCCAGCTCACTGGTTGATTTGCACACAGGCCTGGGCGACGTACGACGACGACGGCGTTCCCAAGATGGGCTACGGGACCGGATTCGCGTACGAGCCCTTGCAGCTCGCTTCCGAGGCATTCGAGTTAGACGCTTCGACGGAACTCTCGCTCGGGCTCGCGCCCAATTTTACCTATGCACTCAAAGTGAGCCTCGGGGAGTACGGAGCCTCGAGTTGGAAATTCGAGCTGTCGACGACTCTGCTACTCGATCTGGCGTTCGTCGTGAAGGCCGCGATGACGGACGACACGTGCAAGACGACGTATGAAGTCGACACGGCCGTGAATTTCGCGATCGTCGCCTTAGGCGATTACGGGGAACCCGACACGATCATTGTCCTACCAAGGGGGGAAGACCCCTACAATTTTGAGGATCTTCTCACCGGAAGCTATGATTTTTGTCCCAAGACCTTCCTCGGCACGGGCGAGTCGAGCGCGAGCAGCGGCTCCAGTTCCAGCAGCGGCAGCTCCGGCGGTTCGAGCGGCGGCGACGACGACGAGGGGCTCGACGCGGCCTCGACCGCCGGCGTCGTCGTCGCGCTCATCGTCGTCTGCGTCGCGGTCGCGGCCGGCTTCGTGCTCTACGCCAAGCGCAACAAGGCCTCGTCGCGGCCCGACGCGGACGACGACTGCGCCAAGGCGGTCTTCGCGGAAGCCGTCGTCGCCGAAGACGTCGAGGACGCGAAGCCCGACGCCGTCCCGCTCAACGCGGAGTTCCACTGGCAGGACACCGCGGGCAACCAGCGCGGACCCTCGACGTGGGCCGAGTACGAGGCCGCGCTGCAGTCCGGCGAGACCGGGCCCGACAGCCTCGTCTACGCCGACGGGTTCGTGGACGAGTGGAAGCCCGTCCGCGACGTGCCGCGCCTCGCGAAGCTCGTCCCGCCGCCGAAGGTTCCGCCCGCGCCGCCCGCGCCGCCGCCGGCGGCGTCGCCCGCGCCGCCGCCCGCGCCGCCGCCCGCGCCGCCGGCGATGCCAATGCCACCGCCGTCCGTGGAAGCGGAGACTGCGCTCGTCGAGAAGGATGAGGCCGCAAAGCTCCTCCGCGAGCCGTCCGCAGAGGCCCTGCCCGCCGCGGCCGCCGCGGCGGACGCGACCCCCGTCAAGAAGGGATGGTTCGCGAAGAAGCTCGGGGGCCTCAACAAGCCCGGCGCCGTGCCGCCGGAGGTCGCCAAGGCCGAGTTCCACTGGCAGGACACCGCGGGCAACCAGCGCGGACCCTCGACGTGGGCCGAGTACGAGGCCGCGCTGCAGTCCGGCGAGACCGGGCCCGACAGCCTCGTCTACGCCGAAGGGTTCGTGGACGAGTGGAAGCCCGTCCGCGACGTGCCGCGCCTCGCGAAGCTCGTCCCGCCGCCGAAGGTTCCGCCCGCGCCGCCCGCGCCGCCGCCGGCGGCGTCGCCCGCGCCGCCGCCCGCGCCGCCGCCCGCGCCGCCGGCGATGCCAATGCCACCGCCGTCCGTGGAAGCGGAGACTGCGCTCGTCGAGAAGGATGACGCCGCAAAGCTCCTCCGCGAGCCGTCCGCAGAGGCCCTGCCCGCCGCGGCCGCCGCGGCGGACGCGACCCCCGTCAAGAAGGGATGGTTCGCGAAGAAGCTCGGGGGCCTCAACAAGCCCGGCGCCGTGCCGCCGGAGGTCGCCAAGGCCGAGTTCCACTGGCAGGACACCGCGGGCAACCAGCGCGGACCCTCGACGTGGGCCGAGTACGAGGCCGCGCTGCAGTCCGGCGAGACCGGGCCCGACAGCCTCGTCTACGCCGAAGGGTTCGTGGACGAGTGGAAGCCCGTCCGCGACGTGCCGCGCCTCGCGAAGCTCGTCCCGCCGCCCGCTCCGCCGCCCCCGCCGGCGCCCGTCGTCCCGGCCATGCCCCCGAAGCAGGCCGCGCCGCCCGCCCCAAAGCCGCCGCCGCCGCCGCCCAAGGCCGCCGCCGCGGACGCGGGCGACGCGCTCGAAGGGCTCACGGAGGAGGACAAGGCCGCGGCCGCGGAGCTCGCCGAGTGGTTCAAGGCCCACGGCTACCCCTCTCTGGAACGCGCCCCGGGCGTCTTGCACGCCCTCGTCGTCGAGGGCTTCGATTCCGCGGAGGCGCTCGCGCACCTCCAAGAGGACGACGTTCTCGCGATCCCGGACATCAAGCGCGGCCACCAGAAGATGCTCATCAAGGTCGTCAAGGATCTACAAGATTCCAAGGCCTAGAACCTTCGAGCGAAAGCCCCGAAGCAAGTCCCCGCCCCCATCTCCCGCGGCGCCACGCGCGCGCCGAATCCCACGTCCCCGCCGCCCACCTGCGAGCTCGCGGCAGCCTCCCCCCGTGCTTCTCGAGCACGAGCAAGTGAACCAAGAATCCGCGATGCCACCTTCCTCTACGAGTCCCTGGGTAACTATGGCTCCCCGGGCCCTTCGGCGGTGGCGCGCGTCCCTCGCCCCTAACACGGGCGCTAGGCGAGGTCGACGATGGCATCGCCGCCGCCGTCGACGCGGAGCGAGTCGCGCGGCCCCGACTGGCTTGGGCGCGCCCGCGGCGACACCGTGAAGGCAAAATGCAGAGAAATTTACCCTCAGTTTCTGCATGGGCTCGTAGTCCCAGACGCTGGCCCGCGCACACAGACGCTTGACAGGGTCGAGACGCCGCCCGGGATCGTCCGCCGACGGCGCGTGTCGACCGTCGTCGTGTCGTCGACGTCCGGTCGCACTTCACCAAAAAAAGCATGGACGCGGACAGCCTCTGCGGCCCGTCGCCGGCGGAGGCCGTCGACGAGGGCCGGCGCGAGTCGCTGGAGCGCACGGCGCGCGACGACGAGGCGCGGAACGTCGAGATGCGCGAGAGCGGCGAGTGCCTGCCGTCCATCGACGAGGCCTTCCCCGCGCGGCCGCCGAAGCCGCCGCCGCCGCCGCACTACCTCCGGCCTCCCGAGGTCGAGCAGCACTACAGCTCCTGCTCCTCGCGTGCACGGGCGCGCCCGCGGCGGACGAGTGC